CATGGCTAATATCATGCTCAATGGTGAAAGGTTGAAACTTTTCCTCTAGGATCAGGAAGAAGACAATGGTGCCCACTCTCACTGTTTCTATTCAACATAGTACTAGAAGTCCTAGCCAGAGCAATCAGGCAAGAAAAAGAAATAAAAGGTATCAGAATTAAAAAGGAAGAAGTAAAATTTTCTCTATTTTCAAAGGACATTATCTTATATATAGAAAATCCTAAAGGTTCAACCAAGAAACTATTAGATCTGATCAGTGAATTCAGTGAAGTTGCAAGATACAAAATCAACATATGAAAGTAAGCATTTCTATATACCAACAATACATTTTCAGAAAAGGAAATAATTGAATAGCATCAAAAACAATAAAATATTTAGGAATAAATTTAAGGAGATGAAAGATCTGTACTCTGAAAACTACGAGGCACTGATGAAAGACATCAAAGAAGACACAAATAAATGGAAAATATCCCATGTTCATGCATTGGGAGAATTTATATTGTTAAAATGTCAGTATTACCATAAGACATCTATAGGTTTAAGGCAATCCATATCAAGATTCCAAAGGCATTATTTTACAGAAGTAGGAAAAAAACTCTTAAAATTTTATATGGAGGCACAAAAGACCCCCAAAGCCAAAGAAATCCTAAGAACAAAGCAGAAAGCATCACACTTCCTGATTTCAAGCTATACTATAAAGCAATAGTCATCAAAAGAGTATGGTACTGGCATAAAAACAGATGAATAAACCAGTGGAACAGAAGTGAGAAATAAACCCAAGCATTATAGAGTTAACTAATGTTTGACAACAGAGGCAAGAATACTCAATGGAGAGAAGACAGTCTTTTCAATAAATGGTGCTGGGATAATTGGATATTCACATGTAAAAGAATGAAACTGGGCCCATATCTTATTCCACACACAAAAATTAACTCAAAATGGATTAAAGACTTAAATATAAGACCTGCCACCATCGAAATCCTAGAAGAAAACACAAGAATAAAGCTCCTTGACATGAGTCCTGGTGGTGATGTCTGGATGTTACGCCTACAGCATAAGCAACAAAATCAAAAGTAAATGAGTGGGACTCCATCAAACTAAAAAGCTCTGCACAGCAAAATAAACCATCAACAAAGTGAAAAGAAAACCTATGGAAGGGGAAAAATATTTGCAAACCATATATTGGATAAGGGATTAATATCCAATACACGTAAAGTACGCATACAACTCAGTAACAACAAACAAACAAACAAAAAAGAATTTAAAAATGGGCAAAGGACCTGAATAGCCATTTCTCTGAAGAAGATACACCAAAAGCCAACAGGTACATGAAAAAATGCACAATATCTCAAGTCATCAGGAAAATGTAAATCAAAACCATAATGAGATATCACCTCACACCTGTTAGAATGCCCATCATCCAAAAGACAAGACATAACAAAAGCTGGCAGGACGTTGAGAAAAGGATCCCTTATGCACTGTTGGTAGGAATGTAAATTGGTGCAGCCACTGTGGAGAACAGAATCAAGGTTATTCAAAAAGTTAAAAATAGAACTACAGTATGATCTAGCAATCTCACTTCTGGGTGTGTATCCAAGGAAAATGAAAACACGAACTCAAAAATATATCTGTACCCCTATGTCCATAGCAGCATTATTTATAATAGCCAAGACATGGAGACCACCTAAGTGTCCACTGATGGATGAATGGATAGATAAGTCGTGTATATGGATACCGTAGAACATTATTCAGCCATAAAAAATGTGGAACTCCTACCATTTGTGACAACACGGGTGGACTCTGAAGGCGTTATGCTAAGTGAAATGAGACAAAGGAAGACAAATACTGTATGATCTCTCTTACATGTAGAATCTTAAAAAATAAATTTAAACAATTTAAAAACTCTTAGAAAAAAATCAGACTTGTTGTTACCAGAGATAGAGGGTGACGGGAAAATGGAGGAAGGTGGTCAAAGGAGCCCAGTTCCAATCCCAGGATCAATAATTACTAGGGCTGTGAGGCAGAGCAGAGAACTACAGCTAAGGCGGTTGTACGTATGTCTAGGAAGTACAGGGAAGTTTCCAAATCCTAAGAGTTCATCACAAGAAAATGTTTTTTTTCTTTTTTCTTTCCTTCCTTTTCTTTTTATTGCATCTCTATGAGATGGTGGATGGTAGCTGAAACTATTGTGGTGATTATTTTATAGCAAAGGTAAATCAAACCACCAGGCTGCCTACCTCAAAACGACACAGTGATGAATGTGAATTATTTCTCATTAAAACTGGGTGGGGGGAGCATTTTGTTCTGCTAGAGAGCCAAGGCAGATGGTAAAATGCTGTTCATTTATTTTTTTTTAAAGATTTTATTTATTTATTTATTTGAGAGAGAGAAAGAGAGAGGGAGCATGAGAGGGGGGAGGGTCCGAGGGAGAAGCAGACTCCCCGCTGAGCAGGGAGCCCGACGCGGGACTCGATCCCGGGACTCCAGGATCATGACCTGAGCCGAAGGCAGTCGCTTAACCAACTGAGCCACCCAGGCGCCCAAATGCTGTTCATTTAAAAAGCTGCTATTATGGGGCACCTGGGTGGCTCAGTCGTTAAGCGTCTGCCTTCGGCTCAGGTCATGATCCCAGGGTCCTGTGATCGAGCCCCGCGTCAGGCTCCCTGCTCGGCGGGAAGCCTGCTTCTCCCTCTCCCACTCCCGCTGCTTGTGTTCCCTCTCTCGCTGTCTCTGTCTCTGTCAAATAAATAAATAAAATCTTCAAAATAAAAAAATAAAAAGCCGCTATTATGAAGGATAAAAGGGCAGAACCAGGAGGGAAAGTGGAAGCAGATAGGAAGAAAGCAATTATTTACGTGTGAACTCCTGACCACCAGAAGGACAGGTAGAGGGACAGGGACGGACGTGGCTTGCAAAGACACGAGCAGACTGAGGCTTCGTGGCATAAGCACAGAGCCAGAAGGGTAGCTCCCTGGAGTTGCTCCCCAAGAGTCAGTGAGCAAATCCCAGAAGGTGGTTCTGGTACGTTTGAACAGTGGGTAACAGAAGAAAACCTCAGCTGGGTCTTGTAAGATCAGAGTGGAAGTTGATTGTGAATAGTTATAGACAGGCCAGCACTGAAGTAAGCTAGAATGTTGCTGAAAATAAAGACGAAACCAGAGTTCATTAATCAATAAGATTGGTGTAAAAAAGTGCATGTTATGCTAAGTATTAGATTTCTTTGAAAACTGTTCCAAGTGGTATTTTCTGTGAAAGTTAAAATGTCATCTTAGCCAGTTAACATTTCCTGGTGATGACTATGTGTTAGTCATTCGGGGGCCCTTCACAATTATTAGCTTCCTGAACTTTTGCAACTCTCCCCTTTCAAGAGGAAAGCAGGTTTGGAAAGTGGTGCGATTCCCGTGAGACTCCTGGGCAGAGAAGTGACAGGTTAGGGTTTGCACCCACAGGTCTCATTTGTTTCCATCTTAGTGTCTTTTAGGGACGATGTTGCTTGCATGTCTGTATTAAGATGAGAATCCACGTTTGTCTGTATGTAAAACCATTATTCTCCTAAAAATTTTATTTTCACAAGTATAAATCAAGCTGCAAGGGCTTTCTCGTGCTCTTCAAACGGAATGACATGCTCCCATGAATGGCGGGTGTTGCCAGTAACCTAACCATGTTAGGTCACCATCAGTCTAGACTAAATAAAAATTGCTCCTTTCACAGAACTTTGGAAACAATCGTCAAACATCAAGTTCACTAACAACTGAATGGAACAATTGAACGAACAATTGGATAAATGATTCTGCTTATTAGCTGTGAGATATGGTTAAGTTCTTTAAAACCAGATGGATGCTGCCCAATATGGTAGACACTGCAACAGGAAGCTATTTAAAGTTAAATTAATTAAAATTAAATGCAGTGATGAATTCAGCTCCTCAGTTGCATGAGCCATGTTTCAGGGGCTCAATAGCCACATCTAGCCTGTGGCTGCCATGGACAGTGCAGAAAGTTCTCTTGGACAGCACAGCTCTCTTCAAAAAATCCCAAATCTGTGACCTGTTCTGAAGCTCAGCTCCCTGTCTAGTCAGGTCTGAGAGTTCCAGTGACAATTATCAGAGCTCCCCTTGGGACAACATAAAATGATGCATGTAAGGTCCTTTGCAAATTGTAAAATGCTATACTCAGGAGGTGTTGTGGTTTTGTTTTTTTAATTATTGCAGTGTTGTAAAATCACATAGTCTTTGAGATAACCAAAACTTTGGCTCTTGGATCTTCTAATCATGTTGTCGTTTTCAGAAGTTAGGCTATATATCTTGAAGCCCACATTTATACTTTGTTCTTTTTTTTAACAAATATTTTATTCATTTATGTGACAGAGAGAGACACAGCGAGAGAGGGAACACAAGCAGGGGGAGTTGGGAGAGGGAGAAGCAGGCTGCCCGCGGAGCAGGGAGCCCGATGCGGGGCTGGATCCCCGGACCCTGGGATCACGACCTGAGCCAAAGGCAGATGCTTAATGACTGAGCCACCCAGGTGCCCCTATACTTAGTTCTTTAAGACTGAAGTACATCTACATTCTGTACTATTGACGATTTCTTTTAATGTGAAAGGTACCATCATATATATTATATATATATTATATATATATAATATATGTGTGTGTGTGTGTGTATGAAAATCATTATTTTACTGTAAGGACTTTATCTAGAAATTAATAGGGGAAAACTTCAAGTACGTACAAGCTGATAAAAGTCCTAATCTTTTGCCCTGTTAGAAAGTGGTTATTGTAGATCACAGAGGTGAATGAGTAACAACCCCCATGGTGCTTCATGGCGTCAGTGATAACCAAGTCCATTAATGCACAGCAACCTTAATGACCTGCGTGCCTCTCATGCAGAGGAGAGAGAGAAGGGGACTTCTTGGTACAGACTGCTTTTCCTGTGCCTCGATTGGTTTCTTAGGGAACTACGAATCTACGTGTCCACTGATGGTTGACACCTTTAATCAGCATGATGGAAAGAAGCCTGAAGAATGTCCTTGTGGTTTCTTTTGGATTTCTGCTTCTCTTTACAGCCTATGGAGGCCTGCAGAGCCTGCAGGTAAGTGAGAACACTTGCGCGTGAATGTCTGTCTCTTGGCCTTCAAGAATCCCCATGGTCATAGAAGACGAGGAACGTAGGATTTCTTATTAACAAATTCACCCCCCAAATCCTCTCAAACAGTGGTTTCTATATGCGAGCTTGCAACGTGCAGCCTCACCCACGCCAGCAGGATTGCACAGCAGAGAGTGTGTGCTTGACCCTCGGACAAGGGGTGTGGGTCTTGAGTTAGTGATGTGATAAGACATTCTTCGCCTTTGGATAGTTAAAGACTCAGGATGAATCATGGTGAATTCTACGGTTTCATGACTTTGGCTTTGTGGTTGGGGTAGTAATGTGAATTTATCAAGTTTCACTAAATTATAGATTCTAAGCCTCTTTATGCAATACAGTGAATTTGGACAAAGTGGTTTCTATAAGTTTGACCCTATGGTATGGTACTCTTTCCTCCTTGGGCCTCTCTAAACAGCTGTGGCAGGGGTCACATGTGCCTGGGAGTAGATTTACTATATATGTCCCCAGATAGTTACTTTTTTTTTTTCAAGTGTATTTGGCATAGAGCAGACGGCTCCCCCCCCCACCCTCACCGCCGCCCCCCGCACACCCAGGTCCTCCCCAGTCTGCCTGGGCTCCTGGGAGTAGAAGCACCCACAGTCATTGCTGGGGCCCCTTCTTCCTTGGAAGACCAGAGATGTTAGGGAACCAGACCTCCAACTCTGGCGTGGGGCAATCCCCCACTGCCCACTTCTCTGCCTTCTGTCCTAGCCCTGACCCAACATATTTCCTCGCTTGCTGATCCAGAATATGTAAACATGATTTACCCGGGACTGTCTCCATTAGGACTGACCTAAGCAAAAGAATGCAATGACATGGACAGAAGTGACCTTAGGCATGGCTGCATCCCCACGATGTTGGGGGCACCTGCCTATCCCTTTGGCTTTCATCTGCTCGGCTTCATTCTCAGGCCTCCAGGGGGTGGTACAGACGGTCCCAGGTGTCTCCAGGGTCCCAGCCGTGATCCAAACTCACACCGGGACCCAGGCGCCCACCTACAAGCGTCCCCCTGCTGCGGCCCTCTCACTCCTATGGCTAATGGTCTCCTACTAGTCATTCAGATCTCCACTTGGATGTCCCCCCCTCCCCCTTCCCTGCTCCCTGGAACCAAAGTCTGGATGGGGCACACCTGTGTGTACTCCCCTGGTGCTGTGGCAGGCTCTGCAGTAAGCCCGTGAGTCCCTGATGCCTAAAGGATGGTCACTACTCCTTGACCATGTCCCCCTGACTAAGACAGTCCTCAACACACAGAAGGCAATCGATGGATAACTCTGCATGAAAGTCAGCGGTGCATGCTAATCTCCAGCTTACTTCCCTTCCCAGGCTCTCCATGGGCTTAAAGATCCGACCCTACTCCACAGGACTGAGCCGGGACTCCTCATGGTGTAGTCTGACAGGCTGCCCAGCCTCATCTTCCCAGAAGAGTTTCACGGCTCTGGACACAGCAGTTCAATGTTCCCTTCTGCCTCTCAGCTCAGGATGAGGCCCATGCAAACTCATCCCCCACATCTCCTGCCTCCCACACCTCCCCCCCTTCCTCAGGTTACCCCCATCCTCCAGATCTGATTTGGTCTTCACTCCTTCTAGAAGGTCTTCCTGACTGCCCTGGGCTAGCTTCCCTTGCAGGACTCAGGCCCAGTTGCAATGACCTGTTCGCTGGTGTTACTGACCCCTGTCAGCTCCTGTCCACTATGCACTCCTGGAGGGCAGTGGCTGTTGTAATTTCCTTTGGTTTTGCTAGAGCAGTGCACGGAGCCTCTCCTGGTAAGTGCTTAAGGATGTATTTGTTGGGTGACTTGAGTGAATGTCCTACTTGCTTATGCGAGCAGGTCTTGCATAATTCAAGTTTCACATGCACACGTACTCATCCTCATACAGTATTCTGCAGGTCTGCTCTTCTAACACATGCAGACACAGGTGTTTGAACACCAGCATTCACGTAGAAAAGAATTTGCTTTTAAAATTTGATTCCCACTTTGGCTACTGAAATCTGTCTTCCTTTACAGTGGTTTGCAGTCAGATTTCATTATAAGTGACCAATATACCTTGCTGATTTGCAGCAGCACTGTGTGTGGAGGAGAAATTCCATCGCACAGAAGTGCTGTATGCTTCTCATGAATATATGAGGAGCCGAGCTCAGTAACACAGAATTTCATACATTTGTATTAAGGAAACAAAAGGCTCAGGCTGAACCACCTCTCTCACTCCACACTCCTAGCAACCAGAGTCATAAGCAGAAATGTCCAGATAACCCCTAAGTCAGAGCAGAGTGCTCAATTTCCATCTTCCAACCAGATTACAGAATTTTCATGTCTACCTGTGGTTACTTTCAGTTTCAAATAATCCACAAATACAGTATGTACCCGCTTTGGGCAAGGCATCAGGAGAGATTTGGAAAGAACAGAATATTTCCCATGTTGGGGGATCGTTGTCAGCTGGGGTGATGTCGCGGGTCACCAGGTGGTATGTGCTAGAGCTCAGGTGAAATTCTAGCATAGGATCGAAGCAGTGGTCTCTGTGGATGACGTTATCCTGGGGCCCTTGGAGACGCTTGATCTACACTCGAAGATTGGGAACCCTTTGGAGAGCGAGGACAAGGAAGGCCAGAGCACGTCGAGGGGTGGGGCAGGAAAGGAGAGAGAAAGAAGAGAGAATCTTGGAGTGGTGGGTGCTGTGCAGAGTCAGAACTCAGCCCAAGGGTTTGGGGTCCACAGTAGACAGAATGACAGTGAGCAAGAGCCGGGGCCTGCACCTGCACTCTGCAGGGTCCCTTGCCTCAGGACATTGTCTTGTCAGAAGGGGGACCAGCTAGGAAGGAATGTGAACAGTCCAGGCATTAAAGTACCGGCTTCCAGATCATCTATCTAGCTGTGCATATGAATCTGCGAGGGGGGAAATCACACCCATTTCTCAGCCTTAAAGGGGAGGAATGCAAAGCTGTTCTATAGACTGGAGCAGATGCCACAGAAGGCATGAGGCCCTCTGCCCCACCGCGACCCCAGCACCGAGGGCCTTGGGTTTCCCCTCCCTAGTCTCTAGCAGCAGCTGACTCTGTTGGGACTGTGCTAGTTTCCCCCAACACTGCACCTGTTAGCTGGGAGGGGGCCACCCGCCAGGGAAAGCCTGTTGCTGATGGTCTCAGGAAACTTGTGCTGACCTAGAGCTCTTTCCCCTCGGCCACCGGCCCCTCTGACCAGGGTGGTTTTGTCCCCCACAGAGCAGCCTGTACAGTGAGGAAGGCCTGGGGGTGACGGCGCTCAGCACGCTGTATGGTGGGGTGCTCCTGTCCTCCATGTTCCTCCCGCCGCTCCTGATTAAGAAGTTTGGCTGCAAGTGGACCATCGTCATCTCCATGTGCTGCTACGTGGCCTTCTCCCTGGGCAACTTCTATGCCAGCTGGTACATTCCGCACAACTCCCACCCTGCTTCTGGGTCAGGCCTCAGGTTCAGCTGCCCGATGATGCCCCACTGCATCCACTTTAACATGAGTGCTGTTTCCTGAAATTCCTCTCTGCTCCTGGACAGGATAATGTGGAGGTTTCCTTCCCATTTTTTCCTGAAATTCCTCTCTGCTCCTGGACAGGATAATGTGGAGGTTTTCTTCCCATCCCAAGATGTCTCTGTCCCTTTTGCTGGGCCCATCTCCTCCCACCAGTTCCCAGCCGTGACCTTCCCTCAAGTCTGTTGTGGGCCTTGAGCTTCCCTCCCTGCACCAGGGCACTTTTGTGGCCCCAGGAATGAGAGCTAGACCCTAAGATGTCCAGGGTGAATTTCAGGGGATTTAGCAGAATGTGACCAATGGACCATGGGTCCCACCACACCTTCACCCCATCACAGAAAGTGAACATAGCAGAACTGGAGCCGGTGCAGGGGCCCAGCCTGAGTCCTGCTTACTCCCTGATTAAGAGGGATCCTCCGGGACCGCGCTCTAAGAGCACCGGGCCCCGTGCTCTTATTCCCAAGAACATACCTGTCAAACATCTCTTTGGAGGGATGGCCGTTGTCATCCAGGACATAATGATTATGGTGACTTCACATTCTTCTTTTTATTACTGCCATAGAGTTTTCATACAGAGTCCTCAATGGAGAGGGGAAATCAATCAGTCAATGTTTTAAAAATGAATAAATCATTTTAAACGTACAGCTGTTAGAAATACTCAAAAACCACCCAGGCTTACTTGTAATCTCAGCTCATTGTAGTTGCTTTTCAAACACAAAGAAGTTCACTGGCAGTGAATTTCTCTCTTGCTAATGAACCTGAACCAGAAAGGGAACTGGGTTTGGTCATTTATCTGAGTCTGATGGATGGTGAATCCATCAACATAATAATGCTTATGATGCCCTAGGCGTGGAGCCTCCTTCTCCACAGAGGCAGGGAAGAACGGAGGAAGAGAGGCATTGTCTGTGTTTTATTTTACAGGTACACCTTGATTCCCACCTCCATACTGCTGGGTCTTGGAGCAGCCCCACTGTGGTCCGCTCAATGCACGTACCTCACCATCATGGGAAACACACAAGCAAAGAAGGTGGGAAAAGTTGGCAGAGATGTGGTGAACCAGTATTTTGGCATCTTCTTTCTCATATTCCAGTCATCCGGTGTGTGGGGCAACCTGATCTCATCCCTGGTCTTTGGCCAGACGCCCACCCAAGGTAAAAGGGAATAGGGCTCAGTGATGGCCCCTGAGAGGGGCCCCGATCCCATTCACACACATCTTTATTCCATGACTCGGTCAGGTGAACTACCTAAAGACATGGTTCTCAGCTGCCTGTGCCCCAGCCTCTCCTGGTTCCCAGCTGTTCTCCAGGACAGTCCGTGCAGGTCTGAGGGTCTGTCTTGTCCACAAGTGCCGCAGCCATTCGGACCCTGCCCTCCCAGGGGCAGGGGGAGCGCTTGCAGAGCAGTGCCTGGCGGAAATGGAGGGCCACTGTCAGTGGAACTTGGGTTCATGGAGTCATCACTATCCTTTTAAACCAAGAACAGGCTCAACTGATTTATTGTCCCACAAACTGATCCTCTGTCCAGTGTCTTAAATGTTCCACATAAGACCAGTTGTCCCTTAACTGATTTCAACATCTGATGGCTGATGTCTTAACTCACATCTTTACCTGACCTTGCCCACACATGGCTGTAAAGTGTGTATCGGTTTAATGTCTGCACCCTTTGATGTCTGAGGATTTAAACCAAGGGCAGAGGAAATAAATCTCTCCAATTCTCACAGGCAACCTTTATTCATGGGGTGGGGCGAGGGGGAAGGTCCTAACTCCTGACTCTTACCAGGATTATCCCCATCTCTCTGTCCTGGTCCTCCATCCTGCCGTCCCCTATGAAGGCCCACCTTTGGGAAACTCCAAAACCCTCCTTCTCCTGTTTCTCATGTGATGTCATCACTTGCTAAGTGCATCTGAGGAAGGGAAACCATCGGGTGGATGGATACCCATTTTTACTCAATATTGCTTATCAAAGTCAGCAATAATACAACAGAAACTGGGATTAAGGTTCAGTCTCTACAACACGACTGGTGCGAAATGGAGTGAACAGCTTTACTTTTAAAGACATTCAGGCAAGTGAGCTTAATTCTCCAAGCCATCTCCAGACACAGACTCCGAGGAGTGAGGCATCCCAAGAGCCCTGCAAGTCTTCTCCGCCTCCCTCCAACCCGCCTCTCATTGTCTGTGCTGCAGATATCACCAGCCAAGTTCTATGTGATGAGATTTCTATTATGACAACTGTTCTTTCTCCCATGACATCTCCCCCCTCTCTCCAGAGACTCTGGCATGGTCTGAGAGTAGTTGATGGTGCACATTTTATTCTTTTAGCAGATAGGGAAACTAACACTCAGAAGAAGTAGGAAAGGACCTGCCCAAGGTCACGGAATGGCTTCAGATGAATCTGAAAGAGACCCCCCCCCTTCTGACGCCTATTCTAATGCTAATGTACCTTATTTCTTCTTGATTAGTTTGGAAATGGTGAGCATTTTCCTTATGTCTAGAAAGTCATACAACAAGCAGCCAGCATTTATGGCACATTTGTCTAGTGTCTAAAACCATGCCTACAGATGTGTGCCCAAGAGGAAGTGTGTTTTGAGGTACTTGGTCACACAAGCCCACATCCCCTGACTTTGACCTATCGTGACTCTTGCCTGTGGGGTGTCCAGGCTCCTGTTAGCCACGTGCTTCATTCCTCATGCCCCTGGTCCTATCCACTCCCTGTGTTCTCATGTCACCTTTTTGCTTCCAATGGCACAGAGGCCATCCCAGAGGAGCAGCTCCTGTCTTGTGGGGCCAGTGACTGCCTGATGGCCGCAGCGTCCACCAACAGTACCCAGCGTCCCTCGCAGACGCTCATCTACACCCTGCTGGGCATCTACACGGGTACGTGCTCACAGAGGGCAGAACCCCAGGGAAAGCAAACCTAACTCTTTCCTGTGTTGAAAAACAGTATCTTCCCAAAGTGTAAATATTCCTGCAAAATGTGTTCAGCTGGGTTGTACTCAGGTATTTTTCATATGAAATCAAATACAGCAGAACAGGGCTGTCTAACAGTTTCCTGTGTTGATAGAATTGTTTTTCTTTTGCAAAGTTCAATACAGTAGCCAGTGGCCATGTGTGCTTATTTATATTTTTATTAACTAAATTAAAAATACTGTTCCAAAGTTACAACGGTGGGGATTGTTGGTCGCAAGGAATAGCCCAGGCCATGGAAATGCATTTTCTGCATCCTCAGCACCCCCGCATGAGGTTTCCCCCTGCGTGCCTTCACCAGCTCTGCCCACAACTTGGGAGGGGGCTGGCTTTGTGAACCTGGTGGTGCCAGGAACGCCCGGCCAGCACGCCACGGCAGGACGGACATGGCGTCACATCAGGCTGGTGAGATGAAGCAGGAGAAAAAATAACTCAAGTCCTCTTTAGAGGTTGACGGGCCTAAGCTATCGGACTAGAAACGGTGGCTGAAAACCATTCTGAGGGGTTTTCACTGCCTTTCAGGGAAGCGGGAAAAGCATCAGGCTCTTGGCTGATCTGTGGCTCCCAGAGCACTGTCATTAGTGTTGCCAGAGAGGGGAACCTGGCACAGGTACACGGACGGGTATCCCAAAACCAGGGAGGACTGAGAGGGCTTCTGGGCAAAGAGGAAAAGGAGTAAATACTAGCCCTCGGTCCAAATAACACAGGGGTGCGTGGTGCAGAAAGAGGGGCAGTCACGCCCGCGGGATTAGGAGGGCACAGATGTCCCTCCGAGGGAGTGAAGAGTTGTCTTGAATGGAGTGTGTTTGCATAGTCAGCCCATCCACGTGGTTCCAAACGCACCCCCAGGGAGAGGGAAAGCCCCCACCGTCCGTCCTCTGGGCCGGTCCGGCCGAGACCACCCCCGGTTGGTCGTTCCTGGACCCGGCGGCCCGTGTGACAGCGCGCCTCCCGCCCTTCCTCTCTGAATGCAAGCAGCTCCGCACGGGTCTTTGGGTCTTTCCCTCAGCTGCTCCCCGTGGGGATTGCCCACCTTAGCATATAAAGAGCTGCTTCGTTCCTTGTCTTTCAACGAGCAGTATCCCCTCGGGTTCAGGATGCACCCAGTTCCCACGCGCCCTGTTTTGGGGAAACAATAAACATAAAGCTCAGCAAATGATAACCTCATAGGACTTCTGGTCCCGAGAAGGGAGACTGACTCTTGCTGGCAGTTACCTGAGGGTGAGGACGAGGGAACAGTGGCGGTGAGGGGCGTGGAGGGCCCCGGCGTCTCGCAGGGTGTGTGGTGCAGGCCGGAGGCTCTGCTCAGGCTCGGCAGCCTCGCTTCACTTAAAGCAGGATTTGAAACCGATGCCCCGAAGGAGAGAAGGAGTAGCCGGTGGCTCCCAGCTCCCGTGAGCCCCCCAGCACCGGCCCTCCGTCTTCCCTCCAGGGAGCGGCGTCCTGGCGGTCCTGCTCATTGCCACGTTTCTCGAACCCATCAAAGATGCTCAGCAGGAAAGTGGAGGAGAGAAGAAGTTACCTTTTTGGTCCACCCTGTTGTCCACCCTCAGGCTTCTTCGAGACAAGCGCCTGTGCCTCCTGGGGCTGCTGCCCCTGTACAGCGGATTCGAGCAAGCCTTCCTCGCGGGCGACTACACCAGGGTATGAGAGAACTGCACGGGACGCACACACACCCGTGCATCTCGGGCCCCTGCCCCAGGGCTGGGTGGGGGTCACAGCTGCTGGGGCTGGAGAATGGAGCTTTTGGTTCAGGAGTTCAGTGTCCAGGTCACTGCCCCTGTGCCCCAGAGCTCAGCATCATCTCCAGGGACCAGCTCTCACTGGAGAGGCGTCTTCAGGGAAAGGGCCAAAGCTCTCCGGGAGCCATCACCTATAAGTCTTCCTTGTGTAAGGCCTGCCTGCAGCTCACGCTATGCCCTTCTTTTGGGGAAAAACATGAAACCCACGAGGAACACTGGAATCCCTTCCCATGCTAGTTTTCAAATTATGCCTTTCGATCTGGGAATGGATTGGTTCTTGGGCACTGTCGCGCTGTCCCTCCCTAGATGCCTGCCTGCTATGTCATGCATAGGGAAGGCCTCTCTGGGGGCAGGCCAGCAGAGAGACACCTGTCCCCCGGGGCTAGCACAGCAGGAATGTGAGGCCACCGTCCACCACCATCCCTCGCCGCTGCAGCGTGCTCACGGAGGTTCTGCCTCCATAGCTCCCCACCCAAGTGCTGTCATGTCCTGAAGATCGTACTGGGGTGCCATGGGAGGCATGCCTCAGACAGGGGTGGTAGAGAGTGGAGACCCCCTTTTCCAGAAAGTGCTGGTTGGGAGCTGGGGCGCCAAGGGGCCGGAGAGCCAGGACCAAGGCTGCTCCTCGAGGATTGCCCTTCCTTGACCAGGAAACTTCTCTTGCTTTGTGCCCACTGCAGCTCCCTCCCAGGTAGACGTGCCGAACTAGCCAGAGGCCCAGTTAAATCTGAATTTCAGGTTAACCACAAATATCTTTTAGGACACATAGGCTCCATGCAGGATGCGTGCGTCCTAGATTCTCTCTGGTCTCCCCCACTCCTGGGACAGTCTTGATGGAGAGTCTTGGAGTTCCAAAGACTAACGACAAAAATGACAAAACAGTCCTTTGGCATTTGGCCACGGCCCCTCCCGTGGGCCTTGCTGCTAACCATGTCACATGTGACCTCAGCCACGGCCCCCACCATCCCAGGGCAGCAGAGCTTCCTGTCCAGCCCCCCTGTCTGTGTGTCTGTCCTGATTCTGCCCGAGGACAGGAGTGGCGGGTGTGGGCGTGAGGGCGCGGGCTGCGGTAGCACGCGTTGTCCCAGGTCTCGGCTGGGGCCACTCTGTACCCCACCATCTGGTGCAGGAGCTCTCCTCTTTCTTCTTGTCTGCACAGAGATCTGTTCATTTTCTTCACAACTGTTTCCTTTCTATTAGGATTTTATTTGTGGAGCTGTTTTAGGTTCATGGCAAAGTTGACAGAAGGTGCCTGGCCCCACACATACACAGCCTCCCCGTTATCAACATCCTGCCCAGAGGGGACATTTGTGCCAACCTGTGAACCTGCCATGATAGGTCATCATCGCCCACGTTAGGGGTCTCTCCTGGTGCTTGCGTTCTGTGGGTACGGACACGTGCGTAAGGACACGCGTCCACCATTACGGTGTCACACTGAGCGGCTCTGCTGCCCTGAGAGTGCCCTGTGCTCCTCATCCCCCCCACCCTCTGTCAGCTTTGATTGTCAACGAGCAGGGTAGCAAAGGACCAACTCCACCAGGAACTGCTCCAGTGGGCTCCACGTAATTCCTAGGAACCCCACAACATACGGCAGAGGCTGCGTGGGGAGAGTGGTGTGCAAGTGTCTGTCCTTGTCAGTTCCCACCCCCCGGGCGTGTTCTCCTCCCCGGGGGGCGGGAGGCCTAGGCGACGGTCCGGGCCAGCGCAGCACGGCGGCCACCCCACCGCAGAACACGTGTCACCCGTGATCCCTGAGCCAGACTCGCCAGCACACCACGCACGGCCGGTAACCTCCCCTGTGCTTCCCCTGCAGTCCTACGCCACCTGCGCCCTGGGGATCCAGTTTGTCGGGTACGTGATGATCTGCTTCTCGGCCACCAACTCGCTGTGCTCCGTGCTGTACGGAAGGCTCTCCCAGCACACGGGCAGAATCGCTCTCTATGCGCTGGGTAGGCGGACCCGACGGCGCGCGCGGGTGGCAATGGTGGCGGGTGGACGGCGGGGCTCGGACGGGGGCCGTGCTTGGCTCAGCCAGGCTGTGCTGGCTGAGTGTGCGCGGCAGGCGGGGAGGCTTCCTGTCCTCGCCCGGCGGGACAAGACTGCATTCTAAGCACAACTCACCCATTGTGTCTCTTGGGAAGGGGAGAAAGAAGAAGCAGAGACTGCGTGAATAATAAGGGTATTGACGAGACTGTGACCCGGGCGCCCGGTCCAGGCTCCCGTGTCTGCAGCCGGGACACAGCAAGGAGGGGAAGCAATAAGCACTAGTCAGTGTCCACCAGGGGCCTCGGCATCTGCATAGGTTTTCCCCTTTCATCCTTCCAATCACCCTGTGGGTGGACACTGCCCACTTTACAGATGAGGAAATTAGGGAACTGAGGAGGGTGGCGAGTGGCCCCAGGCCACACAGCCACAGCGAATGCAGTAGGCAGCTCCCCTTTCTGCAACCTCATAAGCTGTTCCATGCTACTTTGTAGTCATAGACACCCCAGTGTCCGCAGGAATCATGAGGCCAGAACTCTTGACACTGGAGTAAAGTCAGGAGGAAGGAGCCTGGTGGTTTTGCCCACCTCTCTGTTCACATCAGCACCTGCTGGGGAGCCCAGCGACGTCCGCACGCCCCCAGCACTCACTGAGAGTCCAGCGTGCTACAACCCACCCCACCTTCCGCCACTCTGGGGTCCCCTCAGCAGGGGCACGATGACACTCCCTGCAAGGTGCAGGGGCTCGTCTCCCCAGCCCTGCCCGGACAGTGAGGGGCCGAAGATGAGCAGAGCGGCTCCCCCTGCCAGGTGCACCTGCAGTGAGAGACTGTGAAGGGCACACTAGCCGGTCTGCCGGCACGTTCAGTGTCAGAGTCCAGCTAAAGAAGGCTGTTTGGTGTTTCCAGGAAATGTTTCCAGGAAACATTACTTATATGTTGAAGCAAACAAAGAGGTTCCCTGAGCGTCACCTGGTCCAAGCCTCCCCAGGGCTGCGCTCACTTCCTGCTGGTTTCTGCCCTCTATGCCCACAGGCGCGGCCACCCACCTGTCTTGCATCATTGCCCTCTTGCTGTGGAAACCTCACCCCCACCAGCTGGCTGTGTTCTTCATGTTTTCTGGCCTTTGGGGCGTGGCCGACGCTGTCTGGCAGACACAGAACAATGGTGAGTCTCCTCTCGGGGGTCCCTACCTAGGCCAGTGTGGGGGACATGTGGTGGGCAGAGGACACACCATCCTGGGGCCCCCGGGGGGAGGTGACGCGCCTCGCAGCAAGCCTAGAGCAGGAGGCAAGCAGGGGGACCAAGGGTGCTCCAGGTTCCTACTTGGATTTGAGCGTTTATTCAGACCCAGAACACAAAAGAAGAAAATCAGCCGCGGGTACAACTTTCTTCCCTAAGAATGGCGGCCCCCTCATGGCTTTCTGTTTGAAGAGCGTCCCTGAGCAGTGACACGGCCCACGTGCTAGATGCTGGAACCACGGGGCTGGAGAGGCCTTCTAGGTACCGTCAGCCCCAATGGGGAGAGAGGTGTGTAACCCCTGAGTAGAAGAGTAGGCAGGTCACTGGGACAGCGACCAAACAAGGGGCATGGGGGCCGGGGTGCAGTTTTCTGGGGAACTGAGTTGGGGGCGGGAGGGGCGGTCAGTGGGGGCTTGTCTGGAGGTCAGGCCTGAGTCGGGCCCCGGCTGGCTGTCCTCGGGCAGGACTACGGTGTGGGAGGCCACAGCGTTGGGGGTGGGGGGAGGCCTGGTGCCGGGAGGGGGCTGCAAGTCTGAGACCACGGTGCAGAGTCTGTGTCCCGAGAGGCCGCTTCCCGGTTCATAGAGCTGTCTTCTGGCTGTTCCTCACGTGGTGGGAAGGGCAAGGGAGTGCTCGGGGCACCGCACATGAGGGCACGGATCCAACTCTTAGGGGCTCCGCCTTAAGACCTCCTCGGCCCCCAGAGGCCCCACCTCCTAACACCGTCACCATGGGGTTAGGGCTCCCCCTGTGAATCTGGGGGACACGAGTGTTCTGGCCGCAGCAGATGGGACATGCCGAGGGACAGGCTGGGCCGGGGTGCTGGGGGTGAGGCGGAGAGGGTGGGGGCCTGAGGGGGGCCCAGGCTGCCTGGGGAGGGGTCCAGCTTTGCTCAGCGTTGGTGCAAGCAGCAAGGGTCCAGGGGGACACGACAAGGTCAGCCCCGTCGGGTTATGGGGGGACGAGGGGCTGCGGGTTCCCTTGGGGAAGACAAAACAGAGCCGTCCGAGGCGGCGCAGCGCAGCGCAGGAGGCCAGGGGAAGCGGGTCGAGGCAGGACGCGCCCGGGCCGGCTGGCGGGCGGGGCATGTGGCTTTGGTCGGGGCGCGTGGCCTCGGGTGCAGAGTCCCCAGGGTGGGGGGCGAAGGGCAGACAAGCGGAGGCCGAGAGAGGGCACTGCTGGGGGACTCGGCTCTGACAGGTGGTTGTTTGTAGGGTTCACCACTCGCCAGGACTGCTTTAGATGCAGAGTCAGGGACCCCAGTGAGGACAGGGGAGATGGGGGGTTGGGGCTAGTGAAGGTGGGGGCGCTGAATGGGGGCATGAGGACGAGGGATGGGGGGACAGAGGACGGAGGGGTCCCCCTTGGCCCGGAGGAGGGCTGCCCTTTCTCTGGGGACCAAGGGAAGGGAGTAGGAAGGAAGAAGCTCAGGAAGCCTTGTCACCACGGGGAGAGGAGTCAGCAGGGTTCCCACGGAGTGCCCGGCCGTGGCAACCGTGACAGACTGCGTTACCGAGCTACACGGGCAGCCTTGGGCACGGCGGACAGAGCCTGCGGCCAGGCACGCTCTTCCCCATCCGCGTGGGGCCGCAGAGCAGAGCGCCGATGCCAGGGCGCTTGCACGGGCCGGGCCCTGAGGGCAGAACTGGGATTTGGGTGCAGGCCCAGAGCCCCTCCGTCCTGTTGGGCAGTCTCGGGAGCTGGCTGGGAGAGTGGGGGGGGGCGGTGAGCCCGTGTGGAGCCGCCTGGCGCCCCCAAGGCTCAGCCGCCCACAGAGCGGAGGACGAGAGGTGGTGACATGCCACCAGCGAGCTTACACAGGGCACAATGTGGGACAGAGGCTACCCGAGGTCGAACCAGATGATGGGGGTCTGTGTGGGGGACACAAGGCCCCATGGGGCTGGGCAACAAGATAGACCCAGGGGAGGAGGGGCGGGTGGCCGCACAGGGGGGTCGGAGGGCCTGGCCCTGACAGCAGGGGCACCCAGTGCTGGGCTGCCGGATCTAAGGCTTCTGGATGGGGTGCTGTGCATGGAGCGGCGCACTCCCGCTTCACGGGGGGCCACCTGCGGGAGGGACGTCCAGGTCACCATGCAGCGGTGCTCCAGGTGCGCAATGAGTGGCTGGAGCCTCAGAGCAGTGGTCCCGCGCAGGAGGCCGGCGAGCCCCGGTGGCGACCGGAGGGGGGGCCTGATGTGGGAGTCTGCGGCAGCCGAGCGGTTGGGGTGTGTGGGGGGTGCCGGTGTCAGCCGTGGGTCACGCTCTCCATGGTGAGACGAGCCGTGGCTGAGGGGTGTCGAGGCACCACTAGGAGGGAAGCAGGGGAGGCAGGGGTGGGCGGCACGCATGCAAGGCCGCGGACCGAGGGCTTCCATTTGAGGACGTGACTGAGAACAACAGCCCTGAGTTTCCCACAGGCCCATCTCCAGCCCGGGACGGGGAGGGCGTGCCAGGGGCCCCAGGGTCTGGCTCCAAAGACAGCCTCCTGCCCTCGTGACATCACCGGCCAGCCCCGCGCAGGGAAACACGTGGGGCTGGAGAGTGGGGCAGGCCAATCCACAAACAGCACGAGGACCGGGGCCTGGCCACTGCCCCTACCACCAAGGAGAAGCACACAGGACCTCGGCCATAGTGGCCTCGGTGTCCCTGTGGTGGCTCCTTCCTCTCGAGCTGCGTCGTGGCCAGCTCACAGAACCGCTGGAAAAACATCTTCGCACAAATCCGGTCTGCTGGATTCCGGCGTCCGGGCTTCACGGGCTCCCTACAGCCTCAGGGGTGCAGGTGGCTTTCATCGACCCCCGAAGCGGGTGACAGACGGGTGTGTGACTCCGAGCCGTGATGGAGTGTGGTTGCAGTGGTCACAGAAACCCGCAGGTTCACTCCAGAGAAGTACCGATTCCACGAGGAGTGGGAATCGGAAACACCTTAGCTTTTTGGGCAGTCCAGAACTGTAAACCAGGGACAGGTCACGTCACCCGGGGAGCATCGGGAGAGAATTTCTTTCAGCCTCCGCGTGCAGGAGTGAGACACCGTGCGCTCCTGAGTGCACACACGCACCGTCTGCCTCCCACAGCGTTCGCCGAGGCCGCTGAGCTCACGGGCAATTTTAAAGCATTTACACATTAAAAACCAGGCAGCGGACTGGGGTATGGGGTCACATAGTACCACATGCAGTAATCCTCTAGATGTTTCAGACGACTGCTGTGACCATGCTTGGCTTTCTTTCTCCCCGAGACGCAGGAATGATGATGGTTTTCACTGTCCTTTTCTTGCCGAGGACAGAAGAGCCTGGCAGGCAGAGCCTTGTCGAGAATGTGCAGACGAGGTTAGGTGAGGTCCAGCGAACCCTGGGACGGTCGAGCACAGGGGGTGGCTGAAGAAAGACTCCCTGGAATAAGGGTACTAATTTAAAATGAATTATTTCTGTCTTTATGTGCCGACAAAAAGTAACTTTTTTCAAGGAAACATCGGTTGTTGGGGGCAATTGTTCTTTTCATTATCTGAGCATTTCTTTTGGAGTCAAAGCTCGCAGTCATCCTCACGGGGAGCCATGTTTTCATCCCCGAATACCCTGCAGGCTGACTGTGCCAGGCTCCCAGCCACATGGCGTGTCCACGGGCTCCTTGTATTCACAGAGACTGAAAATTTTGCATAGCTCCCGCCACACCCCTCAGGAGCAGCTCTCTCTCATTTTTGTTTTTTGTTTTTTTTAAATACCGGGGTGGATTTGTCATCTTATTCTCCCTGAACGTGTGTCTCTCATTTGGGAGGACACGTGAGGGGAGCCACGCCCTTTCCAAATTAATGAGGCCGAATACAATTCGGTGCAACTTAACCCTCCTCTCTCCATTGCCTCTCAGTTCAGAACCTGGCATGGAAGCATACCAGACGCCCGAGCACCCTGGCCCTCCTCCTTGGGGCAGGGTTGTGGAACCGCTGCTCCACGTTCCCACGGGGCTCGGGGCGCCGGCAGTCTTGGGAGCCACGGATCTGGGCCACGGGCTCCAGTCTGTTCATTCGCTCTGACAGTTTGGCAAGGAGGGGTGCCATTGCCATAGCAACCCTTGCATGCCAAGGCGCTGCGTTCGAGATTCAGAGTATCTGGTCTAAAAATGCTCGCTTGCCCTGCTAGCCGCTAGAGGGGCTGTCTCGGGTTGATACACGCAGAAAGTCTGCCTGTGTTACATGCTCGGTTCACTGAACCTGTCCTCTCCAAGTAAACAAGACTGCCCATGACAAGTCTACCCCTCATACGCAGACAGGGGTCAGCCTCTGGTCACTCCCACACGTGCCTTCCTGGGGAGGACGAGGCTGGGAGCCAGGCTGCTTTTCTCTTTAAATAAACTTTTTATTTTGGAATAATTTGAGTTTACAGAAAAGTGGCAAAGACAGTACAGAGGGTTCCCATATACCATTTTCTTAGTTTCCCCTAATGCTAATATCTTGCAAAACAGTGGTATGTTTGTCAAAACTAAGACATTAATGTTGGTACATGACTCGACCAAACTTTAGACTTTATTTGGCTTTCTCCAGTTTTCCCACTTTGTGTGTCCCAGGGTCCCACCCAGGGTCCCCACTGCATTGAGTTGCCACATGTCCTTGGTCTGATCTGTCACAGTTTCTCTTCCTTGTTATTCATGACCTTGACACTTCTGAAGAATACTGGTCAGGTATTGTAGCATGTCCCTAGTTTGGGGTTATCTGATGTTTCTCATGATTAGGCTGGAGTTATGGGCTTTGGGTAGAAAGACCCCAGAGTGAAGTGCTCTTCTCATCACATCCATCACTGACAATGTGAACCTTGATCGCTGGCCAGCCCGGTATCTGCCAGACCTCTCCAGAGCAGGGTTGCTGCTTTTCCCTTTCCATAGCCAATTTTGGGGAGCCAGTCACCACATCTAGCCAACAATCAAGGGGGAGGTAAT